GCACTCGGGAGCGACACCAGCGGGCGCCTGGTGCCCCGAGAGCTCCGGAAGAACCCATACACGATCGGGCCCGTGTCGTGGCGCCGCTCCTTCCCCAAATCTCACCTGTCAGCGCCTCCCGCAGCGCCCCGCTGAACACCTGCAGCTGCTGCTCGCTGACGCAGCCCCGCGTCCGCAGCAGGCCGGACACGAAGCCCACGGCGGCGGCGATCTCGGGCACCATGTCGGCCCGGGGGCCGCGGCGGTGGCTGTGGCGGTGGCTCATCCCGGCGGGGACGGGGGGATCACCGGTGACCTCTCGGCGGCTCCGCGGCGCTCGGGCTGCGCCGGGGGCTCCGCGCGCGGGGTATATAGGGGAGGGCCCGGTGTGACGTCACGGCGSCGGCGGCGTTCCATTGGCTTGCGCGTTATGTAAATGAGGGAATGCAAATGGCGGTATGCAAATAGAGGCTGAGCTCAGCGCGCGGCAGCGGTGACGTCACAGCGGAGAGGGGGGGCGGTTACCGGGGGAGGATCGGGGTGAGATTGGGGGGGGACGGGGACAAAGGGACAGGGACAGGACAGGGACAGGGACAAGACAGGGGACTCGGACAGGGACAAGACAGGACAAGGGGACAGGGACAGGAGGGACAGAGGACAGGACAGGGACAGAGACAGGACAGGGGGACTGGGACAGGGGACAGGGACAGGACAGGGACAGAGACAGGACAGGGGGACTGGGACAGGTGGACAGGACAAGGACAGGGGACAGGGACACGACAGGAGAGGGACAGGGGGACAGGGACAGGGGGAGAGGGGACAGGGACAGGACAAGGGGACAGGGGGACGGGGGGACAGGGACAGGAGGGACAGGGACAGGACAGGGGGACAGAGGGACAGGGGGACAGGGACCGGGACAGGACAGGGACAGGACAGGGATAGGACAGGGAGAGGACAGGGGGACAGGGACAAAGGGACAGAACAGGGACAAGGACAGGGGGAGAGGGGACAGGGACAGGACAAGGGGACAGGGACAGGGGGACAGGGACACAGGGGACTGGGACAGGGACAGGACAGGGGGACAGAGACAGGACAGGGGGACAGGGACAGGACAGGACAGGGGGACAGGGACAGGGGGACAGGGGAACACAAGGGACAGGACAGGGACAAGGACAGGGGGAGAGGGGACAGGGACAGGACAAGAGGGGACAGGTTTGGGAGCAGAGGGGACAGGGACAGGAGCAGAGGGGACAGGGACAGGGGGAGAGGGGACAGGGACAGGACAAGGGGACAGGGACAGGGGAGAGGGGACAAGGACAGGACAGGGGGACTGGGACAGGGACACGACGGACAGGGACAGGACAGGGATAGGGCAGGCATAGGGGAGGGGGACAGGGATAGGGACAGGGACAAAGGCACAGGGGGACAGGAACAGGACAGGGACACAGGGACACCCAGCCCCAGTGTCTAGCCTGGCCTTGGACACTCTCAGGCATCCAGGGACAGCCACAGCTCTGGGAATCCATCCCAGCCCCTTCCCACCCTCCAAGGGAAGAGTTTCAYCCCAACATCCATCCCAACCTTTCCTTCTTCCAGTGTGATCCCATTCCCTGTGTCCTGTCCCYCYRTCCCTTGTCCCCAGTCCCTCTCCAGCYCTCCTGGAGCCCCCTGGAAGAGGCTCCAGTGAAACCCCCTAAACAAGGAGCCTCCTCCCAGCAGTGTTTCCAYCCCCARATTTCCCCCTGGAGTCACATCCGTGTCCCTTGGATGAGACCAAGCCCTTCCCAGAGATCCCTGAACTGTCCCAGGCAGGGGACAGGGGGTGACACTGCCATAACCATTGTCACCTCCCTGCTGAGCAGCCTTTGGCAGGAAATATTGTTTCCCCTTTTTCCACAATTTCCAAACCCGTTTTTGGTCAGAGCAGAGCCCTGCTCAGGCAGGAGCTGYTTTTTCCCCTCTTCCACAATTTCCAAACCCRTTTTTCTCCYCCTGATCTCCATCTCCTTACCAATTCCCATCCCAGTTGCTGCCCAGCCCTTGAGTGGGAAATCCTGTGCACAGAGCGGGAATAAAACCAGCTGGACACTGCAAGAAAAGGCCCCAAAAATCCTGKTTTTTTCCTCAAAGTCCTGGGAAACAACTGGGAGTTTGAACCCCACGAAAGGAGCTCAAATCACCAATACCATCCCCACTTTTGGGGCACCTCTGAACCAAAATCCAGGCTGGAGGAAGAGYGGGGTGTGGGAAGAGGTGACTGAAGACTGGGGAATCGAGGAGGGACATCCCATGTGCAGAGTGGGAATAAAATCTACTGGACACTRCAAGAAAAGGCCTCAAAAATCYGTTWTTTTCCTCAAAATCCTGGGAAACAACGAGGAGTTGGATCCCTGCAAAAGGAGTTCAAATCCTCGACGCCATCCCCACTTTTCCCAGCTGAAATCCA